TTATCTCCTATTGTCAACTCATTAAATATATCTTCAATACTTTCTATACAGACGATGTCTTAAGTTTTCTTCTTGTACCTCCACCAATCTTGTAAGCACCTTACCATATGTATAGTTGATGGATCTAGCAATGTTTTGTTGTCATCAATCAAACATCCTGATATGCTAAAGGCGCTTTTCGGAACTACGGTGAAGCATGCACTATTAGTAAGTCACGAGCCATGATAGAAAGTATATAATATGAAACTGTTCCATATACTCTCCATCATTACAAAATATCAAAATCAATGTTATTTTGAGGTTTAACTAAAGATATAGGTAAATATTGTTTAATTTTAGAAATTTTTCTTATTAATGATCCTAATTCACAGCTATTACACATACATGTTAGCCTCTCTATCATCGATTGTTGTCATAAAGCTTACCTTTACCACATCTATAGCTTGTAGAACCTGTAGGTTGGGGTGTACTTACACAATATCTACCTGCCTACTCATCAAATGATCTTTGAAATTTTTTTTTAATAGTAATATAATGAGTAAGAGCAGTAATTGTCTGACCGCCATCAGTTTTATTACTATGTTCTAATACAAAGAATTCAACAAACTTTGAGGCTAATATCCTTCAAGCATGCATCAATAAGAATCTCCAAACCAAAAATAATAGAAATAGGTCTAAAATACTTATTAAAATTACTTTTCATTTTAAAAATCATGTTTGAAAATAATTATCCATGTGGTAAGTATTACAAAAACATTTGAATATTTAAAACCTATAAAGTAGCTTGAGTAATAGTTAGATAATATCAACCGGATAATAACATAGTAGGTTCATAAAAGACTTGTATTATCTCTTTTACTGGACTTATAATTGCCCCTCATCATTAGTTATTCCATACGCATTATTAGAGCTAGAACTAGAAGTATAGAAAGCAATAAAATCATACATAATTTCTTTATACTCTATTGTTACATTTAACATTGCATAGGTAGAATTCCACATGTGATCAACATATTTTAGAATTAACTTAGATTATATATATATTTTCTTCTACATAATTGTTTCTATCTTTGAAATATTTATTCAGAAGTGTTGTACCATAGAAATGGCTAAGTAGTAATCTCATTCCAGGGGATGACCAAGTCTCAAATAAACTATATGCCAACTTGAAACGTCATCATGAAGGTCGAGTCAAAGGATGCCTTCACTCGGACCCTCTCAAGAGGGCTAAGTCGAAAGGCGTCCTCACTCGAGCCCTGCTAATAAAACTCGGTGCATTATCACTCGGTTGATCGAGTCAAGAGGCACCCTCATTCGAGCAGCCGAGTTGAAAGGCGTCATTTCTCTCCCCCCTTGGAAAAACGAGATGAAAAGCGGTCTTTTCGAACCCATCGGCGACAGCCAGTCATCATGACATTAAATGCACGGTTGAAGTCATTATTACATACCCGCCAAAAGTCTTAATGATTCATCGGACCTTGTCAGCACCTTACTTCCCCTATCACTGTCGCATTAATCACAAAGGTGACTCCTACTACCTACTGTGTATACCTGTAAATTATTAGATGAATAAGCTGATTGCTTGGACTTGGTCAAAGTTATGCAAATGCCCTTCTGGATCTGCTATAAATAGGCACTTTGCCTACTGCATGAAGGTACACAATTTTCTACAACATAACACACAACAACTATAATTTTCCTCCATTTAAGATCAATACAGACTTGACCGTCTAAGGAACCCCCAAGGAACCCAACTTTGATCCTCTTACTTATTTGTGTGTAGAATCGAACACTCTACTCAATAATCAACCATCAAAAAATATTGAGAAACCATAAACTCTCCATAATCCACACTAAACTCCCCTAGTAAATATCTAACATTAACAAGAAGCATTATGAGCATAAGCTATAACCCTAACTTTTTTATCATTTGTTTAATTTTATTAAATTTACTTTGAATAATTAAATTTAAAATATGACAAATGCATTTAATATAAAAAATATCATCATGGCATGACAATAGCAAAGATAATTTGATATGATCTTTTAGTTACATTATTATTACTTGCATTATCTAGTGAAAGAGAAATTTTTTTTTACAAATTTCTAATTTTAAAAGTTCTTCCATTATTGCAATATTTATATCAGCGTGTGAATCTTTAAAAGAAATAACTCTTTTAAAGCCAAGTGTCATCAATCTAATATGCTGTGATACATAAATAATCAATTTGCGCTCTAGATATCTAAAGATCAGATGTTAGAGAAATATCCAGCTTAAGCTTTGAAAATAAGAATTATCTTTGTTTCTTCCTCGTGATAATATTTTAAAATATCACATTAACAAGATTGACAAGAAAATTTTTAAAATACGGGTGAAACACTTTCTCTAATCATATCCTCAAATTCATAATCTTTTAATTTAAAGAGAAGGGTTTTAAGAATAATAAGCTTAATGACGCATTTCCTAGCTTAAATTAGATCGTAGTTCCATGAACCGAGGCTACCAAATGAAGATGATTAAGAGAGTAGAGATTGACAGATGTCGCCTTGAGATATTACTTGTCCTTTATTATATTTTTCCAAATGGCATTTGAGGTGGTTAGTGGTGCTCTTATGACAAGCTTTAAAGAATATGGCTGCATAACACACATTTGTCCTTTTGGGTGAGAAGTTTGTCGTATTGATCCCTGATGACTTCTATATTCTCAAAGAAAGCTCACACTTTGGATCTTGACCTTTTAGGAGCTCTAGGTGTTGTATCATCGCTGGATTTGGGATAAACATTAGTAGCAGGAGGAGTAGTTGTAGTACTCATTTTGAGAGTATTAGAAAGTATAAGAGGAGAATATGAGAGTATAATTCTGTACTAGAGAGAATAAACGAGTATTAGAGAGAAGTAGATGAGTTTTTAATGAGGAAAACAAATAAAAACTCCTTTATTTATAGATGCGCCCCTTAGCCTAATTACCAAAATACCCTTAAAATTTAGCCTTTTTTGACGGTTTTAAGGGTATTTTGGTAATTTAACCAATAATAGCCGTTATAGGCTATTTACACTGTCCGAATGAGCTGGATCCTAGCCAGGTCAAGTCCAAGCTAGGACGTAGGCCTCTTGGTCCAATGGTTAGTGTTGATGGCAGTTATCAAACATGAGTTTATGTGTGGATTAATATATGGGTGTTAGGGTCCTCAATCTTCTTCAGACGGTTGGTTCTCGAGTCGAGAGTCCTGTCCTACACATGAAGAATACGTAAGACGTCGGAGCTGGGATCTCTAGTAGTTCCTCCGATGGTCAAGTCAGTTCAGAGTTTGAGTGGAGAAGAAAGAGAATTAATTGTTCAAACTTTTAGCAAGAGGATTGCTTACCCTAGGCAGCAAACATCAGTTTCTTTTTATAGCAGATCCTAAGGGTAGATAGGTAACTCCGACCGAGTCAACCTAGTGACTCAGTCGATATCCGCTTTACATGTGTTGGCTACAGAGGGGGATGAGTCACCCATTTGTTTAATGTGAGGGTGACAAAATATGGGTGATGTTGATGAGGTCCGATGAGTCGTAAGGTCTTTCAGGGCTGAAGACATGATGATTCTAAGCATTCATTAAATGTAATGGCAATCAACTATTGATGTGGGGCCCGAGGATACATCGTCTTCCAACTCGTCTTCATGAGAGGGGTGACAAGTGATGCCTCTCGCCTCGATTTTGTGAGTGGACGGACAAGTACCATCTTTTTAGTCGGTCTCGCAAGTTGTCGATCTAAACTAGTGGAATGAAGAGGAGTGAGGTCGAGTCGAATGGTGCGGGCCGATAAGTACCGCCTTTTTAGTCGGTATCGCAAGTTGTCAACCCAAACTAGAAGAGGTTCGCTCAAGCGAAGAGTGAGAAAGCTTGTCAACCTGGCCCTTATTGGGAGTTGTGCCTAGGCTATTTGAGTCGTCCTGGCTAGGGTGAAGCCGAACGGAGGATTAGCTAATATGGGACACGTGTTGGATCTAAAAAGAGGATTAACACTTGTTAATTATAGGATATAACAACTAGTGTTCTACCCATTGAACCGGACAGGGTCCGGGCCGCCTGGTCTAGTNNNGTGTTTTTTTTTTGGGGGGGGGGGTGGGGGGCTAGTGTTTGCATAATAGAGGGTAGTTAAGTGCAAATATTAAAAACTTTAGGTATATAAGTGCTTCCAGAAACAAGTGAGGGCATATAAGTGTAAACTAGGAGAAACTATGGGGTATTTAAGTAGAAGTAAGCCGTTTTCTTACCCAAGAAGTTGGATTGAAATTTTCAGTCAAGCACTTGATTGGTTTGCTTTAGCCTCAAACAATTTTTTTACTGCCTCCTACTATACATATGATTGGATGAAATGATAAAAGTATAAAACATATGATTGAAATGACAAATTATAGATGGAAAAGGGCAGCAACTTTTTACAAGGCAATCAGAATTCTTTTACAGTTTCCTCTTGAATTATTGTCTTGATTCAAAGTTCATTTCCAGGGAGTTAATCAGCGGCGATCAGAAAGTTTGATTGGATACGTAAAAGAACAGTTTCAGTAACACTTCACAACTTTGAAACAAGCAGCCTAGCATGAAGACTGTAAATGGACTTCAACTGAAGACGAGCTTGGAGTTCTACTGGGAGAGCCATTTTAATATTGTACTGGGAGAGCCATTTTAATCAGTTACCTGATCAAAAGCAGCTAGAAGTTCCCAGCTAACTAAAAGCTTATTTACTGTTTAGTAATATCTCATCAACGATATTAAATTAAAAACCAATATTAAATATCTGTTGGATTTTGATATGTTTTAAGTTCCAAAGTAACTTTCAATCTGCTTGACAACATCTTGGGGCTACAAGCAAAGGTCTAGGGGATAATATAGGAACTAGGGAAAAGTAAAGGACAACCGAGATAGGCGCACATGCGTATTTGATTTGAGCAGCTACATCAAACCAAACAGCCAAGAAGAAAGAAATGAAAGTATCAAAAATATCAGATGATTAAGACTGAAAAGTCTCATCCAGTGATAGTGACAAACCTTTCAAATTCATTCAAAGGCCCAAGAGGAAAAATCTCCTCAACCCCGCCACGACCTAACTTTACTTTGGTGGCAAAGAATGGCAGCTCTGTCACCTGTGGGAAAGAAATATAAAGTTCTGTAAATTGACTTTTAAACATCAAGAATTGGGTAAATTTCACAAAAGCCCTCCTGAGTATCCAACATTAAACTTCCCCCAACCCCAAATGCGCGCAAACAGTGGGGAAGTCTCAAAAATGACACATAGAGTTAAAATGGGGAAGAGGTATTCTGTAGAACCATTCAAATTTCAGGAGGTGCTTGTGAAATTTGCCCTTAAGAATTTAATGATAAAAATAGTGTGGAATACTTGGCAGGGTACAAGTACCTGAGAAGCCACAAATGAGCATTCTACAATGTCAGCATCACCCCGCATTCCTCGCAAGCATGCATCTGCGAATTTAGCGGCAGCATATGCCTGCAGGCAATATCCCCACAGAAGTTAGCAAGCAACTTATAGCGAGGCCAGTATCCCATGTACTAAAGTAATGAAGGCTAACCATTGATAAAGTTGCGGATCCAGCCCCAGCTTTTGCCTGCATAACAAATGAATTGGCTGCACTTTGTGAGGTTTTCATACTGATTTTACTCAGAAAGAGTACTAAAATAGGTTAAATTCAATAATTTCTGAGATGATTTCAATCAGACACTCCATGTTGAGTTGGAGAACATTTTAAACTCTGCTGGTTTAAACCTACTTTCCCATGCATTGTTAGGAAAAGAATGGAAGATGCAGAGGTTCCTCACGGTAGTAATTCCCCTCATATATCATTATTTTCCGCTTAGTCTAAGAGGAGCAACAAATTGATAGGTTTGATCAAGCAATTTTATAATTCCTTCATGTATGTGGCCGTCTTCTTTGGTTTTGAAATTGCTTTTTTAAGGTGCAAGAAATGCATCACTATCATAAGCTGACAAACTACTGAGACGATAATGAACTGCTTAATGTTGCATCCACTTGTCGTGACCCTTCTTCTTTCTTTCTTTTTTACTTCTTTCTTTCTTTCTTTCTTTCTTTCTTTTTTTATAAATGACTTTATACCCTTAAAGTGTCTTTCTTTATGGGAACAAAGACCATAGCCTTGGCCAGGCTTCGACAGGTACTGTCTGATGATTAATTCATACCGGTATGATATACTCACCTTTCCCATGTTTACAACCAGCTTTCTTAAACTGAACTGCGCCTGCAGTTTTTACCTTTTTTTAACTTTTTACATGCAACCAAATCAGCCCCAAAGATAAACCAGTTTCAACACTCACACATATCATATATATAGCAGAATAGGAAAATACGAAGTCGTCTCGGCATATATGCTAAAATTTTCAACGCTTTGTACTTGTACATGGACATGAACTGAGACATGTGATCTATGTCGTAATTAATGTTGCACATCTAAGTTTTTGTGACACCCTACATTTTTCATCATGATGATCTAAATATGATTAAAAAGCCAAAAGTTGTAAGCGAAAAATACTTAAAATGATGCTTGCAAATCAATTTCAGATAGTAATAATGTAGGTTTTGTTAACTTTAAGAGGAGATAATAAATTTACATTTACATGCAAGTAATAAAAGGAAACACTTTTCAGTCCCAACCAGTTGTTACAAACTGACAACAGCCTGAGTATTCATATTGATGCCCAATTCAATATGAAAAAATTATGACACGAAAGTTAAAACAAAATAAGAGTTGATTTGCATGCCTACAGTGAGATGGTGTATTTACCTCAACTACTTCTGTTCCGCCATTTTGAATGCGATCAGTCAAAGATTTTATTTCTTCTGAAGTGAAGGAACATGGAGGTTTCACCTACATAAACATAGATCTCTTACTAAGGTTCTTGATTTCAAGCTGGAACTTGGAACTTGAGACCAACTCGACAACAAAACAACATAACAACTAATAAAACCAAAATCTTCCCTAACCTGTGACAAGAGGGGCAATATTGTAACTCCTGCATGTCCACCAACAACTGGAACATTAACCTCCCTTGGGTCAAGCCCCAATACTTCAGCCTGAAAACAGCATGAATCATAGTGTATGAATAATAATATTTATCTTATTAATAGTTGAGGTGGAAAATAGGGAAAAGAAAGCTAACCACAAAAGTATTGGCTCTCACAACATCAAGGGTTGTGACTCCTAAGAGACGATTAGGATTGTAGGTGCCTGCCTTTTTAAATACCTCAGCTGCAATAGGAACTGTAGAGTTCACTGGATTGCTTATCAAATTTACTATTGCATTAGGGCAGCATTTAGCAATGCCCTCACAGAGAGTTCGAACAATTCCTGCATTGATGTTAAACAAATCGTCTCTCGTCATTCCCGGTTTTCTTGGAACACCGGCAGGAATAATGACGAGGTCCATTCCCGTTAGAGCATTTTCCAATTGTGGCTGACCCAAAAAGCCACGTACCTGTCGAATGATAAAAATGATTACTTCATAAAGTGGTTTCAGTGCAATAAAGCGGAAAAGGAAAAGGTCAATATGTCAGCATAACTCTTTGAAAACCTAGATTCAACGCAATAGCATCTATCTATAATCTATTATCCATTACAATTATTTTAGAAAAGCTAATTTTTTGGTGTTCTACACCAATGTTAGTTGCTCCCTAGGGTTAATTGCGAACAGACCTCTTGTAGTATCACCCAATTGCAAAGAGATCCCTATATTTCTATTTATTGCGAGTAGGCCCCCTGTAGTTCTACTTTTTATCAGTAGCCCCCCTGAGCATTGGCCCAAGTGCGAATACACCCTCTTAGTGAACTTTTTCGACTCTTTTAAAAGTCAAAAAAATTAGCAATTGGGCGCCTGTCGTCATCTAGAATTATAAGGGGTCTACCCGCTTCCTCAAACATTTCTAGTGACTTTAAGAGTAAAAAATATTCACTCAAGAAGTCTATTCACATTAAGTAGAATTATAGGGGGTCTATTCACAATAAATAGAACTACATGGGGTCTGTTTGTAATTAAATAATACTATAGAGGGTCTGTTCGCAATTAACCCTAAAAATTTCCAAAAATATCCTAAAAGTTATACACACAACTTCAATAATTTACAACTTAATAGAGGGACAGGTTTGCAAAAAAAAAAACAATCTAATTCCTAACTATCTTCACTATTTCATAACTACCAAGCCAACTTTTTCATAACTACCCCACTCTTCAAATTCACATATCTTTTACACTGATATTATTTTTTGCAACTATTTTTTATACAAGTATATATGTTAATTATTAAGATGTTGACAAAATTTTTTAATTATGCACAAATATATATCATGTCATGCACGAATCGCATGCACAAAATATTAGTAATAATTTATAGGCTAAATGGCACTTAAATACTCTATTGTTTTATCACCTTTACACTTAAATACCCTAAATTGTAAAAAGTACCACTTTGATACCCTAAGTTGTAAAAAAAAGTATTTTAATACCCTAATTTGTAAAAAACTGACACCTAAATACCCTATTATTTCATCATACTTACACTAAATATTCGAAGTTGTAAAAAGTAGCATTTTAATACTTTAAGTTATAATAAAGTAGCACTCTAATATCCTAAGTGTAAAAAAAAATGTAGCACTTTAGTACATTTTGTTAGTTGTCAAGACAAATTCCTAAGAATATTCCCATGAAAACTAACAAAAAGTATTAATGCGCCAATTTTTTACAACTTTAGGTATTAAAGTGCTACTTTTTACAACTTAGAATATTTAAGTGCAAATGAGGTGAAACAATAGGGTGTTTAAGTATCATGTAGCCTAATTTATACAAACCTAGGCCTCGAATGAGAATGTTTCATGATAATTAGATATAACTTGACACAAACGAGAATTAAAATGAATGTTGTTAAAAGTACGTCAGACCAGAGTCACCAAAATCACATCATTATCATGGTGTGGAAGCAAATAACGTAACAATTAAGAGGCAGGGTTAAGGGAGTTATTTTTCAAGTTTAATAAAGAAAATATTTAAAATATCTTTAGTGTCGTATTTGAAGTATTTCAGTATTTATTTGAAGTAAATGTTGTAACATTGTTGCTGTCAAACGACCCTTCCACTATCCTAGAACTACAATTATGGTGAGGGTTGCAAGTTATAATTTGGTAATCTAGCAGTTACCATTTCTCGAAAGCAAGTTATGACGGCAGTCTTTTTCCCCTACTTTGATTTCTAGGATTAGTATGACATATAAAATGACTTCATCCAGCATTTTTTTTAATAAAGTAAAGCCCAAAATTACCAATACCAATTATCTTGTGACAAACTTTTTTTGTTTCTCATAGAGTAGTTATCACAGATCACATATAAGAATTTTCCTTATATGTTTGCATTATCTTGATGGTGAATTAAGAAGAAACTATTGAGGAGGAGTTGCTCACATTTGCTACATGTACGAACGAGTCAAACACTAGTATGCATGGAAGACCGCGTTAAAGGAAAGTGTAAGGGGTGGTCCAAT